GCGGAGCTTGAATTTACTCCGATGCTTAAGTTGCTGGGTTTTCTCCCCGAAGGAGCTGCGCAGACAAGCGGAGATACAGACAGCCCGCTTACACGGTCCTTGATGTGGAAGACAACGATAAGGCGCATAACATGCCATTTTTCCGGAAAAAAAAGAATAACCGTGAAGGCATCCTACTGCCTTGTATCCGAAGCAGATGTCATCGGGCGACACTTCAAAACGGCAGCCGTCAGAAACCCTCACGCCGCGGCGCGATCGCGGGGCCCCGTAAAGATTAAACGCTGTCAGGTACTCCTCCGCTGCGGCACCACCGAAGGGACTTTTACATATTTAAAATGTTAGCGGTGAACTTAGTTAAAAAACACTGATCTTCAAAATGAAACCCATTTATGTTTTTATGTCACGTGTCAGGCACAATTTTTTATTTTATTTTTTTGGCTTAATAATGCAGGAGAATGCTAAAGTCCACGGGAAATTGAAGCGCTGCGTGGTAACATGAAAATGTCGAATATCATATCAGATGTTTAATTGGTGTGGAATAGTTTTAAAAGCAGCTATCAACTGAGGCAAAATGAATAGTATGAAGCAAAGCCAGTGTAACATACAGGAATGTATATGATAAGACAGGCAGACAGACAGACAAACAGGCAGGCAGGCGGACAGACAGGCAGGCAGGCAGACAAACAGACAGACAGGCAAGCAGGCAGACAGACAGACAGACAGGCAGGCAGGCAGACAAACAGACAGACAGGCAAGCAGGCAGACAGACAGGCAGACAAACAGGCAGGCAGGCAGACAAACAAATCCAGCGGTGGTCAGAAGTTCACATACACACATCAGGGGCATGTATGTCATTAATTTTGGGGTTTTGAACTGTTCTTTTCCCAGGGTGGAATCATTATGCAACATACATCGTCAATGATTTTTAAAAACGAGAATTGGGTGTACAAGTTTGAATTTATTTCGGATTTTCTGTTTGTATGCATTTTGAAAATGAGTTATACAAATAAAACTGAACTGAATTGAATTGAAATGACTGGTGAAGATCCGGTGGGACCTATTTAAACTGTCATCAGTTCCATCTTCCTTAAATATTCTGCAGAATTACATTGTAGACCAGAGCTATTCAAATAACGGTCCTCGAGGTCCGAGCCCTGCTGGTTTTCCAGCCTTCCTTTACCTGTGAGCCAGGTGTGAAGCCTCTGACCAATCAGAATCAGTAATTATTAAACAAACTACCTGGGAGAACTGAAAACAAGGCCTGGATTTGGAATCCAGGTCCAGATTTGAAGAACCCTGTTGTAGACTGTTAGAAAGTAAACTCCCTGTAAATGGTCAAATTACAATATTGTGAAATACAGACACTTAATATCTAGAGCCTACTGTCCCTGTGTGGTCCTTAATTAATTTTCTAAAGAATGCGGCTCCTGTACACTGTAAGTCAGACTCAGGAGAGGGATTTTCAGCCATGACGGTTCTGGTTCCCATAGCCCTAACCCTACCTCTGACAGTGACATTACTGCACCTGTGCTTGCCGCACTGCACATCTTACCATATTATAGTCTGAGACTCCCCGTCCAACAGCAGCAGTATAATTGGCTAGTGGTTTGTGACTCAGCCCCACGCCTTCAGTGTTTCGCGTCCGATTCCTGCCTCCATCTCACAGCAGCTATATCCTCTCTCTTTATGCATGTTTCCTCCTACCACTGGTGATTCCTGACCCTGTGTAGGGGATCTCAGCCACCCTGAAAAAGTATTATTCTAAATCCATTCAGCGATGCTGTCCCGTATTTTGTGGGAGCTGAGCCCCCCTGAGGGTCAAACGGTTGTATTGGCCCCACCCCCCGAACCATGGAACTGAAAGAAGGAGCAACGAGTGTTTAATATCCTCTGGCTTAATGAAGCAGAGCATGACGGGAGCTGTGACATGTTACCTAACATAGTTCATATTCATGGGAGCATTTTTATTTACATCCTTTCGAAACAAATGATTCCATTTATTCAGTTTTAAGTATACAATATGCTGGATTGTGTTTACTGTAGAAACCGCTGTTCTAAAAATGACATTAACTGTTTTATAACTGAGGTACAAAGTAACTATAGTAACAGATTTTTAAAATTTATCTAAAGCACAGAACTACAGGTCTGGCAACCTAGATTTCTGACCCTGAGTGATTTTGGGTGCTTATTACATCCCACTGACTTTCCAGATACTGGGCTGCAAAAGGAGTGTTCTCGGTCTCAAGCCACCAGAACTTCTGAAGCCTGAAAGTACAGCTTTGCTAACAGAAATGATTGTTCTAATAATGAAAGGACACGGGCACCGAAATGAACAAAAGGGGCCCGATAAGGAGCACAAAGGTGGCAGACTTTGCAAAAGGTTTCCCTTCCCTGTTTTAATATATGCCTTCCGTGCATTTTAAAGTGAAAGGGATTGTGAGAATACTTCCAGATCCCATTATCGAAAATGAGATGGTAATTTAAGGGGTGGAATGCATAAGAAAAGCCAGAAAACAGAAGAGGAATGAAAGGGCTTGCTGAGACTGGCAGGAGGTAAACAGAGCAGAACATTGTCTGGCTTAATTAGAAGGTTAATGCCGAGAGCGGGTCTGGCAGAGGTCAGTGAGCGGCATCACCGGGCATTGGGGCGCCTCGCTGCAGGTGAAATATGTAGCACGTACATCCGAAAACCTCCAGGGAACATGGCAGGTCTCCCACTATGAGATACCTACAGATACCTCTGGCATCTTAGACAGAGAGCAGATACATAAACGGCAGCTAATAAAACACCATGATTTACTGACAGTCGAGTATTAAATACACAACCCCCCCCAGTTACATCTCTGAGAGACACCTGAACACTCCTCAGTGCTTCCTGATGCAATAGAACATATAACTATGCTGGCATCACTCATGTAACAAACATGACAGAGTCCTACAGAGCAGGTGAAGAGTGGAACGTGCACTACAGAGGTGCAGCATTCAGACCTCTGACCATGTGACTTATTCACACCACTGACCATGTGACTTATTCAGACTGCTGACCATGTGACTTATTCAGACTGCTGACCATGTGACTTATTCAGACTGCTGACCATGTGACTTATTCAGACTGCTGACCATGTGACTTATTCAGACCGCTGACCATGTGACCATCGTGAACAGCCAACACCCAAATATACATTTTGGTTATGCCTAACGACACCACATCTATTGTCACCTTAGCTAACTGCTTTAATGAAGTTAAAAAGTTTTCCGCCATCCAGGTTTTATCACTAAATGCGCAGAAAACCGAGGTTCTGTTGTTTGGAGGCAGGTCTGCAGATAGGGATTTTATAATCTCCACACTCCACTCCAGAGGGCTGAACTTCTCCCTCAGCAGCTCAGCCCGTAACCTGGGTGTCATCTTGATACAAGCCTCTCATTCAAATCACGTGTAAGTGCAGTTTCGAAGGCGTGCTTCTTACAGCTACGCCACATCACCAAACTGCGACGATTTCTTACTATTCAAGACACAGAGGAATTGCTACATGCTTTTGTATACAGTAGGATAGACTGCTGTAATGCTCTGTTATCTGGAAGTACACACTGCACATTAAACACCTTACAGCGTATTCAAAATGCAGCAGCTCGAATTGTCAGCAGGGGCAGGAAGTTTGAACACATAATCCCTGTTCTTAGTTCCCTGCATTGGCTTCCTGTTAGGTTCAGGATTGACTTTAAA